AAGATTCAAAAGTGGGACCAATAGTTATAAGATTCAGGAATTCTAACCGTATAACAGCGACATTTAGTAATGACATAATTACTGGTAGAGTAAAATATGCAAGTCAGACGTAATTTGAACCTTAAATATAAATTAAGATTATCTGATCTGGCAATGTGGAATGTCGGAAATACAGCAGAAAATTATAACGGCGTACCGGTTTGTCTGGGGTGTACTTAACATTGATAGAACTGGAAAGGACACTCAAAAGAAGGACTCGCTAACAGTAGCACCTTTTTCACCACTAAATGCTGACTGTCTGCAAAGTAAACCCACGAATCGCCTTTTGACAATCGGGAGTCAGATTTCTCGCCACAAATACCCTGGCTTATGCCATAAATTAGTAGATAGTTAAGAAATTGTACGAGGTGGAAATTATTTTTTTACAAATATTATCCTATCATCTGGACAATTATACGTCGAGTCCGACAAACTCGAGAATACGAAGCAGAAATTCTTACCAAAACCTGTCAATGGTCTTCATACTTAAGAGGCTCTGATGTTCAGTAGCGTTCAAACCAACAGAACGTACTTCATGCAACACCAACTGAAGAATGCAGATGAAAGACGGCTACCTGCACATAATTAAGACGCCAAGATTCAGTTGTTGCATATTGAAAACAGTCGAAGACCTGTGAATGAAGAGTCCTCAGACGGACAAGAACAGAAACAGAAATAAACATCTGAATGACGCGGCAGCGCATTCAACATCAAGCCAGTGCCTTTTATTAATAAAATTCTAATTTATCTTAGTGCATGTCTGACTAATGCGTCACGATTTTTTCTTTCGCTCCAGCAGTAGTTAAAGGTAGTTTTTGGTACATATTTATCTGTTCTACAGGCTAACAATGTCTATATGCCAACTAATGATGCAGGTTGGTATTAATTAATGTGACATCAGTGATTTATAATTCTGGAAGCTGCGAGCATGCTTCTTGTCTTGTTGTCGGTTGTTTAGCATGTATTCGAGTTGTACGCCTAACAGCTGTCATGTCAAGGAGGCGGACGGTTGGCGAGCGATCCGCATCGCATTGCCACCTGCTACCGGTGACAGAAATGAGATTTAATTAAACGCCATACAAGGAAATGTCGTGCCAACGACGCCCTTATACGCTATGTTGGTCGCGTTAGAAAGTATGGTACTACGTTTTTAAAGGTTCCACGAGAATCTACACCCCAGAGAAGTAAGCTCCGTTAACTTCTTTTCCTCCGGACGACGGACAATTTTTCTACCTTGTTGTAGGATTTGAGATTCTCACGGTGGCGATTATGATAAAATATGACTATCTTCTGGAAAAGTGCGCCGTAAAGCTTGGTATAACTTTACCAACGTTTCAGAGGTTCTTGCTGACTCCAACGCCTGTTGTTTAATAACTAATGCGTTGTCGTACAGATCCAAAATATGAGAACAACGAAGCTGGTACTAATTTGTACTAAACACATTAGATGGAAGGGAAATTTGGAGAGATAAGAAATATGCAACAAGGCTCCTAGATTTCGCTAGCCTTACTATTTTTCCCACTTATTTCATCCTTCCTAGGTAAAATTTCTTCCTAAGCACCTTTTTTTTTCCAAACTCTTGTAATCTACGTTCTTCCTTCAAGGTAGGAGACCATGTTTCACAACTATACAAGACAACAGACAAAATTATTGTTTCGCATATCCTGGTATTTAGTGCTTTGGATAGCAAACTGGATGATAAAAGTTTTTGAGTTGAATGCGAGTAAAGGAAGCGTTTCTCGAAAGTATTCTACTCTTAATTTCATCATGGACCTCATTTCTATTAGTTATTGCTGTTCCCAGATACTTACATTTTCAAACATTTCTATTTAAATTAGATATAATTAACATAATCCTCACATCCACGCCTCGATGTCTGAGTGGTGTCTTTACTTTCAGGTTTAATAACTAAGTATTTTTTGCATTTCTATCGCCCATTTTATCATCTTTAATTTAATCATCCAATTAATATCTCGTGAAAAGCACAAATGAGGATCGACAAGGTGAACTCTTACAGCCTCCATTTTAGGTCCAAACATTTTCCTCTGTACCTTGTCTGCACCCTTCAAATGTTTCACCTTAATACAATACAAAATTCAGGCCTAAAATATTAGTTTTCATTTGTAAGAGACTGTGGTGGTCATGTTCGAGACTCCTATTCGGATGTTATCTAGTTCGATTCTCGCGGGTTACCGTGTATCTTGGGGTTCCTCGTGATTTCCTCGGTCTCGTCAGTCACTGTCGGGATAGTTTTTTAAGTGAAAAAAAAATCCTCACCTCACTATTCGTGATCATTCTCCTATCTCGTTGATGCTACATAACTTTTAAAACTGCACCAGCGTTGTTTAACAGCCCATCAATTTTTAATCATCGATATAGTTTAGATTTCTTCAACGCTAAACAACTTCTATAGCTGATACAGCCTCGTTAGACCTCCCGAGCCGATAACCGACGTTTAGCTCCATCGACACACATTGCTGTCTCTGATGTCCTTACGAGTGGAGGTCCAACTTCATTTCAACATTACTAGGAAACCATACAGTCGGCCCATAATTAGGAAAGCTTTGTTTGTAACCGTAAAATAATTCGCCAAGAGGAAGCCTTGAGCGCTTCGTGATTTTCGTGCAAACCTCGTCCCCTTCTCCTTCCCTGCCCGCCCTCTGAGAGATTTCAGCCCACTACCCACGAGATACCGTAGGACACGACCATCAAAAGAAAACCGACTAGCTCCATCAGTTACATTGACAATACAGTGTCTTCATAAATCGTGTTAGTTCGAAGTCGCGATGTCTTCTTCATGACCAAAAAGACAGCCCAGGCCAAATCTTCGTGAGTCCGAATACCTCAAAAGAGCAGTGAGTGGGAACAGAGTATCTTCATGGATCGCGGCAATTGAAGCCGGGAAATAGAGGGAAAACTTGACATGGTAGGCTTAGCTTTGTAAGTCATAATAGCTCAGTCAGTTCAGAAATAAATAACAACACAGTATCTTTATAGGTCATAATAGCTCGGTTTAGACAGCAAGTTGTGGAAATACAGTTATCTTCGTGCGTCGTCAAAATTCAGTCGGAAGAGTTACCTGCGATAATACAAAAAGTTGAGTACGAAAAGTTCAGAGAGGAAAATAAATTACTGGGCCTACATATTTGAAGATCAGCCCGGTATGTGGTTTCCGGTAACGACGACGAGGTATCTTGGTTTCTCCGGAGTCGTTCGAGATCATGACGTCTGCTAGGAGTTACAGACAAAGGATTGTCAGGATGTTTACTTATGTTCCAAATCGCCCAATCAATTTTCGAATTTGGGGGCGAATGAACACGAAATATTTACATGCTACTGATTTTATAAGGTTAAAATAATGTTAATTTAATGATTTATTCATATTGTGGAATATTTGTAAGCGTCACTGCCGTCCCTTGTCATGGAGGACATTTCCTCCGAATCATTAAAATACAGACTTGATAGTCATATTACGACTAGTAGTGAAAAAATGTGTCTCACTGTCACATAACGCATTGCATTTCTATACAAATTTTATTCGACACTAGTAAACAAACAAAACCAAAAATGGATACGAAAATGTAACAATTATCTCATTCTGTAGTCGCTGTTCTTGATATATTCCATTCGTCATGTTCTCTCATCCTTGAATCGCACGCTAACAAAACTGATAAAAATGGCAGGGATCAACGAAGATTGCGAGACCTTCCAACGAGCACTTTGCCTCCCCATTTCGAATTAATTCATAAATAAACGAATTATAAATAAAATCACAATACGTTTATTAAGAATATTAAAGGTAACTAACAATACGTTTGCCTGTGTGTTAGGTTATTTTTATAAATAATCGTTAAGCTTAAAAGCTTCTGTTTCTGTCGTATCCGACCTGTTCTCACTCCCTCTTCAAGCTGTCTACTTCATCTGTCAAAAACGGTACGAAGAAACGTGGTTGGGACGCCATGTCCGTGCAACCATCGAAATAACAGCTTCAATGGACTCCAGAGCGGATCTGTCGGAAATCGAACACCAGTCATTAGGCCTGTTGGAACTGAGCCCCCACGGCTACTAGTGGCCAGGTCTGCTTTATGATATTTTGTTCCGAATACGCTGCTACTTTTGGCCAAACCTTAGAACACCGTGCACAGAATTCCATAAAAAACATTGTCTTACTAGGCAGCCTACGCTATTATATCCAATGAACCATGAGTTTTCTGTACCTACCAAAGAATCGTAAAAATTCGTCGTCTACGATGGCAGACATCGTCATCATCACCTGCTGGTTGAAATGAAAAGAAAGGAATAGTGTACCCTCACCTTATGGCACTCAAGAGAAATCAGTCGGAACCACGAGTTGTTCTTTCAGCAGTAGCAAACTGTCACAAACAATAACTCAAAAATCAATCAAATTATTGTGTTTCTGGTTTGCCGATAAACATCGACACGAGTCTGCAATCATAATGGCTAATGGACGAATAAAAGACAATGAGGGTGCCTTGGGCATCACGTGCAGTCCCACACACGATGTTATCCGGCCGCTTAGCACAAGGACCAAAGCAAAGCTACGAGGCCGCTGCATCTCGATCAGTTTTATCAGGAAGAAGTCCGAATTCGTGGAGCGGAGTCCAGACATGGAGACGGCGATAATGTTACACGCATTAAGGAACCTGCAGGGAGTATGACCAATGCAGTAGACATAGCCAAGTCGCCACCGTACTCATACTTTTGCCATCAGAAATTTGTTCCACTGGGTCACAAACATCGGCCAAGTTGTGTCGGGTAAGACACTCGCAACAAATTCTCGGCACTTCGTGTTATCAAACGCCAGGATAACAAAGGATACAGCGTGGATCCAACTTTCAGAACACACGTAATGTGTCATTAATCTTCGTAAACAGTAAATGTATTAGTATTGAAGAGATTTCCAGAGTAACAACGACGTCGAACATTTGTGGATGCCCTACCTGTAATAGTCCTTCCTGCAGTAGATGTTGCCCTCTCGCGCGTAGCATTTCGTCTCCCCGTCCAGCGTCTGTCGACACTGGCAGCACTGTAGGCAGGACGCGTGCCAGCGTCGGTCAACGGCCAGAAGATAGAACCGGTCAGAGATGCGATGGCCGCACCCCGCGCATACAACCACGTCTTCTGCCGAGGTCGGTGGTGTGGGAGGCGTCCCCGGGTTCGGGTGCTGCTCGATCTTGGGGTGCAACAGTGGAGGGGTGAAGGCATCGCAGTTGCCGAAGGAGCCGCTGGGACCCCCACGATGTTGCCGCGGGCCATCGACAGCCGGCACAGACTGTTGCCGCAGTTGTTGTTGCATGGCAGGAGTGGTCGGTGGTGGGCGCAGCTGCTGGGGGTACTACAGTTGCTGGTACTGCAGTTGCTGGGCTCCACGTCGCCCATGGACGACGAGTCGCACGAGTGGATCGGCAGGTTGGGAGACAAGTCGCGGGACGGGTCGTGCGCCGGGCCGAAGTAGCGGTCGTGCTGCTGCTGTAACAACACACAGCGTCATTTAATTACCACCACATGCAAAAATAAAGGAATTTAATATGTCAGCTTGTCAAGGACTCTTCGCTATGTAGGATTGAGACGTAGGAGACAGCTGTTTCAGATAGTGGTACATTTCGCCCGAAAACGTGGGTACATTTACATCAGGGTACCATACCACCATTCGAAAAATGTTACCACGACAACTGCTGTCAGGATATTCTTTGCTATCGGACAAACTGCAGGAAGAATCTGAAGAGAAACGATAGTAATCTGTTCTGAAATTCCCTCCAGTACTTCGCCTGAAGGTACTAATAAACCCAAAAATAATTTCCAATATTGGAATCCAACTCGAAACAGGGTTTCAATTCCCGACAGAGGTAACATTTACTTCTCAACCACTTACAGCTCTGGAGAACACTCAAGCTCACAGGATATATTACTGATGGTGATTTGAGCACACAGATAATTTTAAACCTTCTAACATACGAAGGGGTCAGCCACATATCTCGGTAAAATAATACACGGAGACTTTAAAATGAAATCGCCTTAACGACAATTTTAATTAGCAGTAACACGTCACAGAACGCTAGCCGAGGCTGTCCACTTGCTGAACTTTGTTGACATGCATTTAGTTACAGCACGAAATACGTAAACATGATAGTCTCGTAAACTTGTAAGTTATGTAAAACTGTACAAATCGTCTAAATAATACAGGAAATGAACTTACTTGCACAATATTATCTCAGATGCGAATTACAAAGCTGCATACGTACTACAACTTCACCGTGTGCGTAATTTAAAAGTCAAATAAGTGGAACATCATGTAACAGATCCCTTATTACGATACCAAGAAGTACAAGTGCTCGGCAGATAAACGATAAGAATTGTAAAACAAAGTGTTAAAAAGAATACAGAAACTGTAAAAAAAAAAAAAAAAACAGCTTAAGATTCTAGGGACAAAAGTCATTCTCCTAATAGCGCTTCTCTCATGTTGTTTACGCGGTTCATATATTTCTTATTCCTTCTGGAAGAATAGACTAAATTTTTAAAATCCACCGTAATTGTTTACATCCAAATCCTCAGCAACTGACTTCATAATCGCCTTGTCATATCGTATTTTCGTATTTCATAGACCGTCTTTATGTACTCTAAAATTAATGGCTGAATTATAGAATGTATTTCGCGGCAACGAAGGTACCGATGTTGATATTCCGGTTTGTCACGCTGTGTGAACGTGCATGTACGTACCACCGTTTCGGAAGAACATACCGCCTCCGTCTTCAGCTGACGTATGTGGACACAGTATAAATATAAACAACAAATACGAACAATTGTACTTTATTTCTGTCCATACAACACAGACTTTCACTTATATTAGGTACTTATTACTTCGTACCACTTCTGGATCATCTGCCAAGAACGTATATGAACAGGTCCCAGTCCGAGAAGAGAAAAGGATGGAAGGATCCTGTTCATATGGACCTGTCGTCAGACAGAACACTAAATAAAAATAAGATGAGGTGGTCTAGCGGTTAGAACGCTGGCCTTGTAATC